TTGATTGCACTATGGTCTGAGAGGCTGTTTGTTATGATTTCAGTTGTTTTGCATTTGCTAGCAGTGCTTTACTTCCAATTATGTGGTCAATTTTAGAGTAGGTTGTGATGTGGTGCTGAGAAGAATGTATATTCTGTGGATTTGGGGTGGAGAGTTCTGTAAATGTCTATCAGTTTTGCTTGCTCCAGGTCTGAGTTCAAGCCCTGGATATCCTTGTTGATTTTCTGTCTGGTTGATCTGTCTAATATTGACAGTGGAGTGTTAAAGTCTCCCACTATTTTTGTGTGGGAGTCTAAGTCTTTTTGTAAGTCGTTAAGAACTTGCCTTATGTATCTGGGTGCTCCTGTACTGGGTCCATATATGTTTAGGATCGTTAGCTCTTCTTGTTGTAGCGATCCTTTTACCATTATGTAATGGCCTTCTTTGTCTCTTTTGATCTTTGTTGCTTTAAAGTCTATTTTATCAGAGATGAGAATTGCAACTCCTGCTTTCTTTTGCTCTCCATTTGCTTAGTAAATCTTCCTCCATCCCTTTATTTTGAGCCTTTGTGTATCCTTGCATGTGAGATGGGTTTCCTGGATACAGCACACTGATGGTTTTTGGCTTTTTATCCAATTTGCCAGTCTGTGTCTTTTGATTGGTGCATTTAGTCCATTTACATTTAGGGTTAATATTGTTATGTGTGAATTTGATACTGCCATTTTGATGCTAAGTGGCTGTTTTGCCTGTTAGTTGTTGTAGATTTTTCATTATGCTGATGCTCTTTAGCATTTAGTGTGATTTTGGAATGGCTGGTACTGGTTGTTCCTTTCTATGTGTAGTGCCTCTTTCAGGAGCTCTTGTAAAGCAGGCCTGGTGGTGACAAAATCTCTGAGTACTTGCTTGTTTGCAAAAGATTTCATTTTTCCTTCACTTCTGAAGCTCAGTTTGGCTGGATATGAAATTCTGGGTTGAAAGTTCTTTTCTTTAAGGATGTTGAATATTGGCCCCCACTCTCTTCTGGCTTGTAGAGTTTCTGCCGAGAGATCTGCTGTTAGTCTGATGGGCTTCCCTTTGTGGGTGACCCGACCTTTCTCCCTGGCTGCCCTTAGTATTTTCTCCTTTATTTCAACCTTGTTGAATCTGACAATTATGTGCCTTGGGGTTGCTCTTCTTGCGGAATATCTTTGTGGTGTTCTCTGTATTTCCTGCATTTGAGTGTTGGCCTGTCTTGCTAGGTGGGGGAAATTTTCCTGGATAATGTCCTGAAGAGTATTTTCCAGCTTGGATTCATTCTCTTCGTCACATTCTGGTACGCCTATCAAACGTAGGTTAGGTCTCTTCACATAGTCCCACATTTCTTGGAGACTTTGTTCATTCCTTTTTGCGCTTTTTTCTCTGATCTTGGTTTCTCGTTTTATTTCATTGAGTTGATCTTCGACTTCTGATATTCTTTCTTCTGCTTGGTCAATTCGGCTATTGAAACTTGTGCATGCTTCATGAAGTTCTCGTATTGTGTTTTTCAGCTCCTTTAATTCATTCATATTCCTCTCTAAGTTATCCATTCTTGTTATCATTTCCTCGAATCTTTTTTCGTATCTTTTTTCAAGGTTCTTAGTTTCTTTGCATTGATTTAAAACATGTTCTTTTAGCTCACAAAAGTTTCTCATTATCCACCTTCTGAAGTCTAATTCCGTCATTTCGTCACAGTCATTCTCCATCCAGCTTTGTTCCCTTGCTGGTGAGGAGTTTTGGTCCTTTGTAGGAGGCGAGGTGTTCTGGTTCCAGGTGTTTTCCTCCTTTTTGCGCTGGTTTCTTCCCATCTTTGTGGATTTATCCACCTGTCGTCTGTGTAGTTGCTGACTTTTCAATTGGGTCTCTGAGTGGATGCCCAGATTGTTGATGATGAAGTATTTCTGTTACTTGGTTTTCCTTCTACCAGTCTAGCCCCTTTGCTGTACTACTGCTGAGGTCCACTCCAGGCCCTGCTTCTCTGGGGTGCACCTATAGCAGCTGCAGAACAGTGAGGGATGCTACCAGTTTCTTTTTCTATCTTTGTCCCAGAATGATGCCTGCCAAATGTCAGTCTTTTGGATATAGAGGGGTCAGGGAGCTGCGAGCTCTGTTGTTCATTCAGGGCTGTTAGGCTGCTATGTTTAATTCTGCTGCAACATAACTCATAAAAAAACCCTTTTTTTCTCAGATGCTCTGTCTGGGGGGGGTTGGGGCTTTCCTTGTGAGTGTCTGCCGCGCTGTCCCGCCCAGCTAGGAGGCAGTCTAGTCACTATTTGCCTGCCGAGGTTCCGCCCTGCTGGTGTGAGGTTCGCCCTGCTGCTGCAGGCTCTGCCCTTCTGCTGCAGTCTCCACCCTGCTGCCACAGGCTACGCCCTGCGGCGGAGTCTCTCTGTTGTAGCGGGTTGCCTCGGCAACAGCAGGCTGCATCAGCAATGGGCGTGTACCTTAGTGGGGGAGGTTTGCCTCGGTAATGGCGGGCGCCCTTCCCCCACGGAGCTGCGGCCTCAGGGAACCCCTCCATGGGGAGCATTTGGAATCGCCGTTTTGTTTGTCCCACTGCGCTACCCCAAACGCTGTCATCCTGGAATCTCCTGGGCTGGCTCACTGTCCAAGTCTCGTTCAGTCTCAAGTTCAGCCCTCCCAAGTCTCAGGTTGCCGGCTCCACAGGGCACCCGGACGAGCGCGCTTTGTGCGGACCGCTGTGTAGCGCCACCACAGCGCAGGCCGCTGCCACACCAGCCGCCGGCTGCGCCAGCCAAAACCTCTGCCTGGCGTCCCGCATCTCCTCTATACCTAGGAATTTCCCCATTCTGTGGGCAACAAAGATCCGTCTGGAAATGCAGCCCTGACTCACCCCATCCGCGCATTGACCGCGAGCTTCAATCCTGGGTTGTTCTCACAGGGTCATCTTGAGTCACATTTCAGATTAGTTATTTTCTAACTCTAAAATCCTAAAAATAGATTTTAGTACCTTCATTTGAAAAACAGAAATAGTACTGACAGATATATGTGGAGAGATCTCTACACACTGAAAATACTGTGCCTAGTTAGAAAACATATGCTTACAGAGTTTCTCTGTAAACACATGTTTCTCTGTAAACATGTGTTTTCTAACTAGGCACAGTACTTTTAGTATGTAAGGATATCTACAGAGCACAGCTATAAATAGACTGCAAGGTATCTTATTTTTTCTTGAGATGGGGGTCTTGCTATCTTGCCCCAGCTGGTCTTGAACTCCTGGGCTCAACCAATCCTCCCACCTCAGTCTCCTGAATAGCCTTGCAAGCTTTATGTTTAATCATACAATATAAAATTCTGATGATCATTTCTTCTACTGTATATTACATCTATCCCATCACCTGGTAAAAACTATACTTAAAAAAACTCAAGGTGGACAGGCACGGTGGCTCACACCTGTAATCCCAACACTTTGGGAGGCCAAGGGAAGCAGATAACGAGGTCAAGAGATCAAGACCATCCTGGAAAACATGATGAAACCCTGTCTCTACTAAAAATACAAAAATAACCCGGGTGTGGTGACAGGTGCCGGTAGTCCCAGCTACTCGGGAGAATGAGGCAGGAGAATAGCTTCAACTCGGAGGCAGAGGTTGCAGTAAGCCAGGATCATAATACTGCACTCCCGCCTGGTGACAGAGTGAGACTCCATCTCAAAAAAAAAATAACTCAAGCTGATATTCCAGCCATACTACCTTAGCGTCAGAATACGTAACGAAGAGGCTATCATAGAAAATGACTATCTTTTTGATTACTACGACAATGGCGACCTTTTTATTATTAATAGTAGTATTATTATTTAGAGATGAGGTCTCCTCCCGCCTTGGAATTACAGCTAGGACTACAGGTGAGCACCACTGTACCAGAGGTGGTAACAGAAACCTTTATTAGCGAGCCCTAACTACAACATAATGAACAAAATAATAAACTGCTGGAATGTGATCTGAAGAAGGTAAAGAACTACTCGCCAGGAAGAAAACTCACAGTACTTGTCTAAGCTCTCTAAGTATAATATTATGTACCCTTGGGAAAGTTACTTAACTAATCTCTGGCTTCAGATTCCTCACTTATAAAATGGGAATAATGTACATAGCTATGACAAAGGTTTATTTTTAAAGATTTAATAAATCAGCACACATAAGGTCTTACTTAGAACAGTGACTGTATAACGTAAGTCCTCAATGGATGCTTGCTACTATTATTATAGAAATATTATCAATACAATTATTTAATTTTTGAACAATTTAGGAGGCATTTTTTTCCTGTAGCATTAAAGTACAGAAATTATTTATCCATTCTTTCAGCTAATATGCACTGTGAATACCAATTACATGCTAGATACCAAGTAAAACGTTAAAGATACAATAGTGAGCAAAAGTAACTGTGGTAATTCCTCTCAAAGATTTCTAGTGGATCAAAATTATGGGATACACCAAGCTATACAATTATCAGGACAACATATGAGACAGGCAATGATGGTTTTGCTACTGCTAATTTTCAAACCTGATCAACAACTATGATGATATTTCAAGGTATAAGTCTAAAACTTAAGACATACTGTTAGTATAATTACCAAATTTCCTAACGAAAAGCCCAAAGCTGCACTGTCTAATAAAGGAAGCTACTTGTGGCTAGAGCTACTTTGGCAATCTACACTGGATGACACAGATATACAATATAGTCATCATCAAAGAAGTTCTATTGGACAGCATTGATCTAGATGTAGCCCAGATAATGCAATTATGCTGAGTAAATTCAATCCTTCAATAAATATCAAGTTTAGATAACAGAAGGTTTTTTATAAACACATTTATAAAAAGGAAACACTTTCAAAAATATAATTCAAAGGCAATAATTAAAATGTTATTACATTATGTAAAATTGCTTAATAAATAGAAGCTATCCACCAAAGATTACCAAAAATGCTAACATGTCTAACTATATAGAAAATTTATTCTTTATCCTGTAAAAAGTTAAAGTCTTAATTTTACCTGTATTAAGGTCAGTTTTCTAAAGGAGGAGGTGGCACAGGAATTCGGCAGAGTTCAAGTGGGGAATTCATTTGTTAAGAGTTAAATATTTTCCAATTCTATAAAAAATGAAAATAGAAAACTGAAATATTGAGGTAATGCTCTGAAGAATATAATACAAAAAACAGTTTTGATAGGCATTTATAATATGGCTTATCTAATTTTAAGAACTAATTATAGATCCAAAATTTTCTATAATAACTAGCATACTTGTATACCTTTATCAAACCTAATTATTTTGGAGCTAGAAAGTCTGAACTTTAATTTCAAATTTGCCATTAATTATCTATAAGGCCTTGAGCAGGTTACTGAAATTATCTGGAGCCTCACTTAAATTATTTATAAAATTAAGTCCTTTGCAGACAAAAATTCTATGATCCTTTTGAAACATGTTATAGTGATTTTTCTTTCTCTCTCTCTCACACACACACACACACACACACACACTCTCTCTCTCTCTCTCTCTCACTCATTTAAAAAAATAACCTCATTAAAATCATAATATGCAGTATAAAACCAAGCTTAAATAATAAGTATTATGAGCTACAAAATCATTTTGGATGAGTTTCACGTAACTGAAAAACTTACCTTTTGTAAAAAAAGAACATAAAAAATGTTATTACTGAATTTTTAGCACAAAAACACATTAGAAGATTTTATCAGAGAATCATTTTCAAACTGCTAAAAATAGAGACTTTTCTTAGAAAGTAATAACTATCTTATGTGTTTGCTGACTACACATTATGCTCTACCTTCTTGGATACAAAGAACACTGCAATACCATTCTCCTAGAATTATATTAACTGAAGATGTGTCAGGACCCCCTACTCCACCACAGTAGTTGAGAGTTTATCTCATATACTGGGCTTTCACATGAGAGTTTTGTTTTATGAGAAGTTTCTGTAGTGGAGGAAAGAACTTGAAAAGACGTAAGGGAATATCTCTGGAAAGATACAAAAGAGACTGGTAGTACTTTGAGAAGGGGCACTTGATATCATAGAAATAGGGTGGTAAAAACTCTCTTTTTGTACCTTGAGAATTTTGAACCAAATCACCAAGACAATTGCCAAATTTTTGAAGCAGTATAAGTAGGCAGAAGGGCTATGTGGGGAAACTCTACAGAGACAGATCTCCCACAATCTTCCAGGGCCAAGGAGACATACTCAGTAGGCTCTCAATTTAAAAAGTAACAAACACAAAGGGCAAATGACAAGAACACTGAGTTTTATTAAACTTTAACACAACGCTAAAATAGCTCAATCCCCCTCTAGTTGAAGGTAATTAGGTCCTTGCCAATTTGTGCACCAGAGAAAAATGTGATCCCTACTGGGAACACTGCACAGCGCCTCTATGGTTCTTTCATTTATAAAATCTGGCACACAATTAAAAAATTACTAAACATGCAAAGGAACAAACAAATATGACCAATAATTAAGAGCAAGCTAGACAAGAGAATCAGACTCAAATATAATTTACAAGTGAAGTTAATACACAAGGACAATTATTTAAAGACAATTATTAAATAATCCTGACTAATAGAAAATAGAAGGGGAAATGTACAGAACTGCTGAAGATGCAACATTTCACCAATGGATTAGGAACTACAAAAATAATTAAATAAGCACTCTAGAACCGAAAAATACAATATGTGAAATTAAGAGCTTAATATAGAGCCCTCTCAGCATACCTGGCAACGCATCAGTCTCAGAATCATAAGAATTTAATATCTTGGTCTTAGAGCAAATGAGACAACAATGGAATGAATAAAGGATGAGTAAACTAGAAGACAAATCAATAAAAAATACCCAATCTGAAGCCTAAAGAGAAAAGAATAAAAAACAGAGGAAGGTGAAAGAGAAAGTAGTGAAAGGAGGTGGGGAAGAGATTTAAGGAAAATGTGAGACACACTCACAGTGTCTAATAGATATATATGTATAACAGAAGTCCTAGAAAAGTGGAGAAATTGATAAACCAACATTCAAAGAAAGAGTAACTGGAGTTTTCAAAAACTGATGAAAGAAATCATTCGAGAGATTCAGAATGCTCTGTCAACACCAAGCAGGATATAGTTAAAAGAAAATTCTACCTAGGATGCCATAAACTAGGGAAGAAAGAGAAGAAGAAAGGGGGGAGAATAAAATCATAAAAGCAGCCATAGGAAAAAAAGGAGTTGCTCTTCAAAACACAGTAAACTGACACATTTCTCAACAGAAACAACAGAAGCCAGAATATAATAGAATAACACTGTTAAAGGGCCAAAGAGAAAATAACTGCCAATCCAGAATAGTATGCCCAGCAAAACTATCCTTCAAAAATAAAGGTGAAATTTTTAAATTTGCAAAAAAAAAAAAAATTCTCACCTACAAGCCTGTTCTAAAAGAAAATTAAAAGAAATAATTTAGGCAGAAGCAAATTATCCTAGATCATAAACATGGAAATGTAGGAAGAAATACACAATATCATCTACTCAGTTCTGGGGCATAAAAAATATATATCAGGGTAAATAATGTAAGGAAATAAGTTAATAGTGACAGTTCAAAACAGTAACTGAAATGCCTTATAAGGTTTAAAGGTTCTAAGATTTTAGCAGTTGTGTGACAGTGTTAATAGTAATAGGTTGTATTATACTGTAAAAAGTTAAAGATATATTGAAATTTTTAGGATAACCATTAAAACAAACAAACAAATAAAATATATATATATATATATATAAAACAAATTAGAGGGAAAATATAATATTTAATCTAAAAGCAGGCAAAAAATAAGAAAAAGAAAAAAAAAAAGATGGGCCAAATAGCAAATGACAGTAAGATTATACATATAAACCCAACTATATTAATAATTATATTACAGTATATAGACAAAGCTTATCTGCAGCCCAGGGCAGGGTTTGAATGTGGCCCAACACAAATTTGTAAACTTTCTTAGAACATTATGAGATTTTTTTTTTTGCAATTTTTTTTTTAGCTCATCAGCCATTATTAATGTTAGCATATTTTATGTGTGGCCCAAGACAATTCTTCTGCTTCCAGTATGGCTCAGGAAAGCCAAAAGAGTGGACACCCCTGATTTAGACAAAATTCTTCTAATAAAGGACAAATTTTGTTAGGCTGGATTAAACAAAGAAGCACAGTCCTTAAAAAAGACACATTAATTTCAGAGAACGAATGGCAACAATGCTATTATAGATTACAGTAATATTACATAATGATGAAGGGATCAATCCAACAGGAAGGTACCACAATCATAAAGTTCTATGTACCCAGTAATAACCTCAAAACACATAAAGCAGTAGGGCATGGTGGCTCAAGCCTATAATTATAGTACTTTGGGAGGCTGAGGCAGGCAGATAGCTTGCACTTAGGAGTTCAAGACCAATCTGGGCAACATGGCAAAACCCATTTTCTACAAAACAAACAAACAAAACCAAAAAAACTAGGGTGTGGTGGTGTGTGCCTATAGTCCCAGCCTCTTGGGAGACTGAGAGGATCACTTGAGCCCAGGAGGTCAAGTCTGTAGTAAGCCATGACCATACCACTGCACTCCTGCCTTAGCAACAGAGTAAGACTCTGTCATAAAATAAAATAAAATAAAATAAAATAAAATAAAATAAAATAAAATAAAATAAAATAAAATAAAATAAAAACATAAAGCAAAAATTTGCAGAATTAAAAGGAGAAAAAGACAAAGTCATAATCACAGCTGGAGACCCACATCTCTCTCAGCAATTTGACAGAAAAAGTGACCAAAAATCAGTAAGATTTGAATGGTGCAATTTACAAACAACCAAAATGACTAATACAGAATATTGTACATAGCAACAACAAAATGTGAATTCTTTTCAAAGACTCCCTGCATACTGAGCCATAAGAGAAGTTTCAACATACGTAAAAAAAAGATGATGGCATTCAAAGTATGGTTTCTTTTTTTTTTTAAGTATGGTTTCTAACCACAACAAAAATAAGCTACAAATCATTAACAACAATAAAAATAATAAATAAAAACCTAGAAAAACAACTACCTGGAAAATTAAAATTCAATTTATTTTTTATTTTTTAAATTTAAAATTAAATAGAGATGACATCTCACCATGTTGCACAGGCTGGTCTTGCACTGGTCTTGCACTCCTGGGCTCAGGCAATCCTCCTGCCTCAGCCTCCCAAAGTGCTGGGATTATAGGCGTGAGCCACTGCACCGGGCCTAAAATTACATTTCTAAATTATCTATACATCAAAGAAGAAATCTCTCCAAAATATTAAAAAATAAGCTGGGTGTGGTGACATACACCTGTGGTCCCAGCTAATAAAGAGGCTGTGAGGTGAGAGGATTGCTCGAGCCCACGAGTTTAAGGCTGCAGTGAGCCACGATTGCACCACAGCACTCCAGCCTGGGCAACAGAGTGAGACCGTGCCTCAAAAAAAAATCCCCAAAAAACAACAACAACAAAAAAAAACCATGACAGTGTAAAATGGACACATTTCTTTAAAAATACAAATTACTAATGCTGAAAGAAACAGAATATCCAAATAGCCCCAAAGCAAATAAAGAAATGGAATGTATTATTAAAAATCTTTCCTCAGCCAGGTGCAGTGGCTCACGCCTGTAATCCCAGCACTTTAGGAGGCCAAGGTGGGCGGATCACCTGAGGTTGGGAGTTCGAGACCAGCCTGATTAACACAGAGAAACCCTGTCTCTACTAAAAATACAAAATTAGCTGGGCGTGGTGGCACATGCCTATAATCTCCACTACTTGGGAGGCTGAGGCAGGAGAATAACTTGAACCTGAGAGGCAGAGGTTGCAGTGAGTGGAGATTGGGCCATTGCACTCCAGCCTAGGCAACAAGAGCAAAACTCCATCTCAAAAAAAAAAATTTTTTTTTCCTTAAAGAAAATTTCAGCTGGGCGTGGTGGCTCACGTCTGTAATACAAGCACTTTGGAGGGCAAGACGGGAGGATCACCTGAGGTCGGGAGTTCAAGACCAGCCTGACCAAGATGGTGAAACCCCGTCTTTAAAAAAAAAGAAAGAAAGAAAATCTCAAGTATAGATGGTTTTAACAGTAATTTCTTCCCATTATGAGAGAAACCACAACAATCTTATAAAAGTCTTCCAGAGAATAATAAATATGCAGAGGAGGGAGAATCTCTTGAGCCCAGTAGGCAGAGGTTACAGTGAGCCAAGATTGCACCACTGCACTCCAGACTGGGTGACACAGCAAGACCCTGTCGAAAGAGGGAGGGGAGGGAGGGGAGGGAGGGAGGGAGGGAGGGAGGGAGGGAGGAAGGGAGGGAGGAAGGAAGGAAGGAAGGGAGGAAGGGAGGAAGGGAGGAAGGGAGGAAGGGAGGAAGGGAAGGAAGGGAAGGAAGGGAAGGAAGGGAGGGAGGGAGGGAGGGAGGGAGGAAGGAAGGAAGGAAGGAAGGAAGGAAGGAAGGAAGGAAGGAAGGAAAGAAAGAAAGAAAATAATAAAGGCTTCCTATTTTTAAGAAAATAATAAAGGCTTCCTATTTTTAAGAACATGGGCAATGAGGCTCATGTCTGTAATCCCAGCACTTTGGGAGGCTGAGGAGGGCTGATCACTTGAGGTCAGGAGTTCAAGATCAGCCAAGCGAACATGGTGAAAATCCATCTCTAGTAAAAATACTAAAATTAGCCAGGCATGGTGGTGGGCGCCTGTAATTCCAGGTATTCAGGTGGCTGAGGCACAATAATCACTTGAACCCAGGAGGTGGAGGCTGCAGTGAGCTGAGATCACACCACTGCACTCCAGCCTGAGGAACAGGGCATGACTCCATCTCAAAAAAAACACCAGTATAGCATAACAAAAATTAACACAGACATTACAAGGAAGGAAAATCACACACTAATTTCTCTCATGAACACAGATGCAAAAATACTCATGAATTAGCAAATAGAGTCTAGTACCATACATACAGAATACCATATATAAAAAAGAATTTACTCCAGGCATATAACAGCAGTTCAGGAGAAAATTCATATGATCATCCAAATAGGTATAGGAAAAGCATGACACGTTCAATATTCAGTTATGATATAAATGAAAAATTCATTTATATTGAAAAATTCATGAAGAATACCATAAAAAGCTGATAGCAAGCATCATAGTCAATGGTAAAATATTGAAAACTTACCCCTGGAGGTTGAAAACAAGACAGAGATGACCATTATCACCACTTCTATTCAACATTGTACTGGAAGGCCTAGCTAGCACAATAAGGCAAGAAAAACAAAAGGAATAAGGACTGGAAAAGAAGAAATGTTATTATTCGCAGATGATATAATTATATACCAAGAAAACCCGAAGAGTCTATAGATTATTAGAATAAGCGAATTTATCTAAGTTTCTGAATATATGGTTAATACATAAAATCAATTGTGTTTCTATAAACCAGCCACAAATTTTAAAAAATGCATTGTAACAATAGCATTAAAAAATAAGACTAGAAATAAATCTAACAAAAGATGTGTAAGACTTCTACACTGAAAACAAGAAAACATTTTTGAGCCGGGCACAGTGGCTCATGTCTGTAATCCTAGCACTTTGGGAGGCCGAGGTGGGCGGATCACCTAAGGTCAGTAGTTCAAGACCAGCCTGGCCATCATGGTGAAACCCCATCTTTGTTTAAAAAAAAAAAAAAAAAAAAAAAGAAAACATTTTTGAGAGAAAATAAAGATAGTCTAAATAAAGCAGAGGATATACCACGTTCTTGAATTGGGAAGACTCATGGTTAAAGATGTCAGTTCTCCCTCAACCAATCACTCCCTTTAGGAAGCATGTGTACTGCCTAATCTGCCATTGCATGGGTTGGGGGTAGGAAAAGTGTAAGGTTGTGGCACAAAAGCCAGCCCAAAACTGATATTGGATCAAGACCATAGAGAACACCACCATCCTCAATCATGAGCCTAATACTAAAGAAAGAGAAAAAGTGTGAGGAGAGAAGGGCCTTCCATTTCTCAACAAGATGGAGTGACAGGAAGTGAATTTACTTTCTTGCCTGAATTTAAGACATGGAAGAAGGCCGGGCATGATGCTCATGCCTATAATCCCAGCACTTTGGGAGGGCAAGGCAGGTGGACCACTTGAGCTTAGGAGTTCGAGACTAACTTGCGCAACATGGTAAAACCCCCTCTCCACAAAAAATACAAAAAGGAGCGGTGTACACCTGTAATCCCAGCTACTTAGGAGACTGAGGCAGGAGAATCACTTCCGCCTAGGCAACAAGAGTGGAAAAAAACAAACACACACACACACACACACAGAGAGAGAGAGAGAGAGAGAGAGAAGAAAACATTTAATAAAGGCAGGTCACAATGGCTCACACTTGTTATTCCAGCACTCTGGGAGGCCAAGGCAGGAGGACTGCTTGAACCTAGGAGTTGGAGACCAGCCTGGGCAATACAGTGAGACCCTGTCTCTACAAAAACTTTTAAAAATTAGCCGGGCATGGTGGCACATGCCTGTAGCCCCAGCTACTCAGGAGGCTGAGGTGGGAGGATCATTTGAACCTGGGAGGTCAAGGCTGCAGTGAGCCATGACTGTCCCACTGCACTGCAGGCTGGGCAACAGAGTGAGACTCTGACTCAAAATTTAAAAAATATATATATATGAAACACAAGTTTTCAAGACACTAGATTACAGATGATGAAGAACAATGAAGTTGCCTCAACTTTCTTCCTGAAGACTTTCCAGGCTGCAGGGTAAGGAAGAGAAAGGCAAGTGAAATGTGGTAGACTCCCTGAGTTACGGAGGCAGAACTAAGTATAGGCAGACCAAAGTACTAGAGGACAGAGTAACGTGGAGAGCTATACTGAGAACAAACTCTGGAGATCTGCAAAGGATCCCTCTCTAGTAGTCAAATGAAAACTAATCAGCACACTGTGTGTGTGAGGAAATTACCAGAAGCCAGGAAAACAAGCACCAGAAAGATAAGAGGTAGCAGTGTCCGGAACTTACACAGGGCCAGAAATAGTGCCACTTCTCAACAATTGCACAGAAAATAGGGTCAAGTACACATAAGAGTTCTTCCTAAGTAATGAGGACTAACTAGCCCTAAAGTGAACACAGATCCAGTACTATCTATTAAATCTTAAAATCTTATTTTTTTTTTTTTTTGAGACAGAGTTTCGCTCTTATCACCCAAGCTGGAGTGCAAATACATGATCTCCGTTCACTGCAACCCCTGCCTCCTGGGTTCAAGCAATTCTCCAGCCTCAGCCTCCTAAGTAGCTGGGGTTACAGGCACTCACCACCACACCCAGCTAATTTTTGTATTTTTAGTAGAGATGGGGTTTTACCATGTTGGCCAAGCTGGTCTTGAACTCCTGACCTCAGGTGATCTGTAAAATCAAAACCTGGAAGGATCAAACTATTTTCAAATAAATGTAACTGCATGCCAGAGCAGAGCTCAAAAACATTTATAGGAATACAAAACTAGCCCACACAATGCAAAAGTTTGAAAAGTGCTTGCATACTGGAGCTTTCCCTTCTCTCTACTTTTAATATCTAGCAGCCATATGAAGAAGCCAGGGCTAGCCTGATGAAGAGACATAGGCCGACCAACAGCCAGCACTATCCAATAAATGTGTGAGTGAAGCCATCTTAAATAACAGTCCCAGTCGAATGACATGAGTAATCTCAGGGAAGACCAGAAAAAGAACTGCCCAGATGCCCAAATTACAGACCCATAGAATTATGAGCAAATAAAATAGTTGTCATGTTAAGCTGCTAAATTTGGGGGCTATACAATAAAGGGTAACTAGTACATATGTTAAAGAGGGGAGCTGAAAAATCATTCATGAATCTACTATAAAATACATTAAAGAGTGTCCATCACTAGATAATGTTCAAAACAGATCTTATTAGCTGAGTACCAAGACATTCTGAAGAGACACTAAGTGCCAGGAACTAGCAACCAGCTCTTAGTTCAAAATGATGCAGGTTGGTATACTAGCATTAGAACTCAATGCAGCATTCCTTCCAGTTCTGCAGGCTGCAGAGGAGTCAGCCTACTGAAGAAAGTAATGAAAACAATGATTACCAAAAATCATAGTTGTCCATTTAAAGGTCCTGGATATCAATACTTTTAAATTATCCATATAATTTTAGTGTTGTCAATTATCTTTGTCCTTTTTTGGCTATCTGCCTGCTCTAGCTACCTGGGCTTTCTTGATGTTTCTTGAACATGCCAAACTCATTCTTGCCTAAGAGGCTTTGTGTTTCTATTCCCTTTGCTGCCCAGCTGCTCACATTGGTTTCCTTCTTCATCCAGTCTCTGTGCTCACTCCAAACAAATAAACAAACGAAAAACACTGGCCAGGCATGGTGGCTCATGCCTGTAATCCCAGCATTTTGGGAGACCAAGGCGGGTGGATCACAAGGTCAAGAGATAGAGACCATGCTGGCCAACATGGTGAAACCCCGTCTCTACTAAAAATACAAAAATTAGCTGGCTGTGGTGGTGCATACCTGCGCCAGTAACTATAGAGTCCCAGCTACTTGGGAGGCTGAGGCAGGAGAATTGCTTGAATCTGGGAGGCAGAGGTTGCAGTGAGCCAAGACCATGCCACTGCACTCCAGCCTGGCAACAGAGTGAGACTCCCTCTCAAAAAAACCCAAAAACAAAACAAACAAACAAAAAAACACTACTCATCACCGATCACAATCACTCCCTATTCCATGATCTGCTTTACTGTTCTCCACATTTACTTCTTCTTGTCTCCTACTAGAACATAAACTCCATGCAGGAGAATGTCTTCTTATTCACTACTAAATTCACATTCCCTATTTCAGCAGCTAGACAAAGCAGGTAGTCACTAAATGTACAGGGAAGCAAGAAGATTCCTATTCACCTAAGTGGTACTGGGGTCACAGCAGAGTAATGACCTCGGAAAATCCTCTCCTCCATAAAAGCAATAAGACACTGGTAAAAATTGTCAGAATGAACTTTTTCAGAACTTTGGAAATTAGCCAAAAGGTTAAAGCAATCTGGGAAGTGTTTATGTAGAAAAGTAGTTGAGGCTGGGCGTGGTGGCTCACACCTGTAATCCTAGTACTTTGAGAAGCCAAGGCAGGCAGATCATGAGGTCAAGAGATCAAGACCATCCTGGCCAATATGGCGAAACCCTGTCTCTACTAAAAATACAAAAATTAGCAGAGCATGGTGGCATGCACCTGTAGTCCCAGCTACCCAGGAGGCTGAGGCAGGAGAATCACTTGAACCCAGGAGGCAGAGGTTGCAGTGACCCAAGTTTGTAGCACTGCAATCCAGCCTGGCAACAGAGTAAAACTCCATCTCAAATAAAAGAAAAGAAAAAGGAAAAAAGAAAAGTAGTTGAATCTCTCAAGTAGCTGAGACTACAGGTATGTACCCACTGTGCCCAGCCTTCAAGGAGTTTTAACTTGCCCTATTCCCATCCCACCTCCCCAGCTCCACAGTAGCCTTTAAACAAACAGCCCACAATCACACCAAGAGCCTGACTGGCAGTCACTGAAGGTAACAGAATGGTCTGCAATGCCTTCAAAGCCTCATTCTTGGAAAACTAATTATTTGACCTGTCTGGTAGCTTCTGGAAGACCCTGATATGGTTTGACTGCATCCCCATCCAAATCTCATCTTGAATTGTAACTCCCACAATTTCTACATGTCATTGAAGGAACCTGGTGGGAGGTGATTAAATTATGGGAGCAGATCATTCCTGCATTGTACTTGTGATAGTGAATGAGTCTCATGAGATCTGATGGTTTTTAAAATGGGGAGTTTCCCTGCATAAGCTCTCCCTTTGCCTGCTACCATCCATGTAAGATGTGACTTGCTCCTCCTTGCTTTCTGCCATGATTGTGAGGCCTCCCCAGCCACATGAAACTGTAAATCCATTAAACCTATTTTTCTTCCCAGTCTTGGGTATGTCTTTACTAGCAGCATGAAAATGGACTAATACAGATTCCACGTGCAAGGTTGTCTTTGACTTGAAGATCAACCAGTGCAAATAGTCTTTTCCCTATGGGCATTTGTCCAAAACAGGAACAGTTATTTAATATCCTCATTGCCTGAGGCAGTGGAGATAGTTAGGGCAAACAACAGGCCAACCAAAAAGCCTAAAAAGAAAAGCTGGGATTCAGGCACAATGGCTAATGCCACTTTGGGAGGCCAAGGCAGGCAAATCACTTGCGATTGGGAGTTCAAGACCAGCCTGGCCAACATGATGGTGAAACCATGCCTCTACTAAAAATAGAAAAATTAGCTGGGCATGGTGGCACACACCTGTAGTCCCAGCTACTCAGGAGCTCAGGAGGCTGAGGCAGGAGAATTGCTTGAACCTGGAAGGGGAGGTTGCAGTGAGCTGAATTCACACCACTGCCCTCCAGCCTGGGCAGAGTCAGACCCTCTCTCAAAAACATCCAACCAACCCAGAAAAGAAAAGCTGGGAAATGAGATGTCCATAATGGACTTTGAAAAGCTCCAATAAATTCCTGGGAATCCAGAAGGCCATATTCATGCACAGGGATGTATACTCAGAGCTATATATATATACTCTCAGGAAAAATCTGAGAAGCCCTTAAAATCTCCTTAGGGGCTCTGCATACAACTCATTACTGGAGAATTAATGGCATCTTTTGCAACTCTATTGAGAGAGGATTCTTGCAGCTTGAACCAGGTTTCTTCCAGACTTCATTCCACATGCCTTTTGCTTTGCTGATTTTGCCTTGTATCATCTCATTGTAATAAATCGTAACTGTGAATATAATAACTTGAGTCCTGAGAGTCCATATTGCAAACCATGAAATGTGGGAATGATCTTGAGGGACCCTCAACAAAGCTCCTAAGCCCTTTTGACATAAACCTAGTAAATGGGCCAGGCTCTGTGGCTCACGCCTGTAATCCCAGCTCTTATGGAGGCAGAGGCAGGAGGATAGCTTGAGCCCAGGAGCTCAAGACCTGCCTGGGCAATATAGCGAGACCCCATTCTCCACAGAAAAGAAAAAAACAAAAAGACAAAAAAAAAAAAAAAAAAAAACCTAATAAATGAAGATAATCTCAAGAAGTTCCAGGCTTACCTTGTACAAATCCTGCCCTAGGCCTAGAATCAGACATTTCCTCACCAAGGAACCCCATTCAGTAGGAAATAATATTTTAAAGACTACATTCTGGGTGCTAAAGTTTGGGTGCATCTTAAATACAATTTACTCCCATTTAGTGATGTGGGGGTGGAGAGAGGAAAGGATCCATTCCTTGTATTTCAAGTAAAAGAATTTTTTCCTAGGCCGGGCGCGGTGGCTCAAGCCTGTAATCCCAGCACTTTGGGAGGCCAAGGCGGGTGGATCACGAGGTCAAGAGATCAAGACCATCCTGGTCAACATGGTGAAACCCCGTCTCTACTAAAAATACAAAAAATTAGCTGGGCATGGTGGCACGTGCCTATAATCCCAGCTACTCAGGAGGCTGAGGCAGTAGAATTGCCTGAACCCAGGAGGTGGAGGTTGCGGTGAGCTGAGATCATGCCATTGCACTCCAGCCTGGGTAACAAGAGCGAAACTCCATCTCAAAAAAGAAAAAAAAAAAAAACCAACATGTTGGATATACAACCTGTTTAGGTATGCAGGCACAAAATTAAAGTAGAAAAATAAATTCCAAGAAAATATGCTGAATTTTTACATTTTAATTTTCTGAGATGAGTTCTTGCTATGTTGCCCAGGCTAGTCTTGAACCCCTGGCATTAAGCAATCCTCCTGACTTGGCCTCTCAAAGTGCTGGGATTACAGGCATGAGCCACTGCATCTGGCCTATGTTGAATTTTAGAATAAACCTTTCAAATCCTGAATAAACACATGTTTAAAGCAGTTGGTATTCAAAGAGTTGAGTCAAGAAATGCAGGGTCTAGATCTGGTGGCATTTTTAACCTCTAAAAGAATTCCTGGCCAGGTGTGGTGGCTCATGCCTGTAATCCAAGCACTTTGGGAGGCCTAGGCAGGCAAATCACCTGAGATTAGGAGTTCGAGACCAGCCTGACCAACATGGACAAACCCCGACCCATCTCTACTAAAAACACAAAATTAGCCAGGTGTGGTGGCACACGCCTATAATCCCAGCTACTCAGGAGGCTGAGGTAAGAGTGTCTCTTGAACCCAGGAGGCGGAGTTTGCAGTGAGCCAAGATTGTGCCATTGCACTCCAGCCTGGGCAACAAGACCGAAACTCTGTCTCAAAAAAAAAAAAAAAAAAAAGAATTCCTTACTTATAAGCTCTTCTTAAAGGCAAAAATATTTGAAATATTGGCATCTTTTTTTCTTTTGTGTTTTTTCCCCAAATTTTTTTTTATTGTGGCAAAACACACTTAACAAAGAATTTACCATCTTAACCATTTTTAAGTGTGCATTTCAGTAGTATTAAACATTCATAATGTTGTACAACCATCTCTTTTCATCTTGTAAACTAAAACTCTAGGCTAGGTGCAGGGGATCATACCTGCAATCCCAGCACTTTAGGAGGCCAAGGAAGGCAGATCATTTGAGCCTAGGACTTTGAGACCAACCTGGGCAACATGTAAAACCTTGTCTCTATAAAAAACACAAAAATTAGCTGGACATGGTAGTGCATACCTGTAGTTCCAGCTACTCCAGGGACTGAGGTGAGAGGATCACTTGAGCCCAGAGTTTGCGGTTACAGTGAGCTACGATCATGCCACTGCACCCCAGTATTGGTGACAGAGTGAAACCCTCTCTCTAAAAACATAAACATAAAATTAAAAATGAAGGACAAGTTATCATATCTCAGACAGCCACCACCACTTAGAAAGAAGCACAGTGCTGTGAGCAGTGGCTTATGCCTGTAATCTTAGCTACTCAGGTGGCTGATGTGGGAGGATCACTTGAAGCCAGTAGTTCAAAACCAGATTGGGCAACATAGAAAGACCCTATCTCTAAAATAAAAATAAAATAAAGAAGCACAATGCGTGGTGGAACTCTTTAAATTCTGGAAATAACATAAACCATATTTTAGTGTGCTGCTCTGCCCATTTCCTGAATAATTCATTAAGCTGCCAGTTTTAAATGGGGCCTAGGACATGAGAAAGCAAAACGTCAAGATACTTTGCCATTTGGGCCTTAAGATCCAGCAAATTCAGTGTATTCAAAGTGTCTGTGGTAGAAGTAGCTGTATAAAGCTACCAGTAGGCCCTGATAGGAGAATCACAACACACAGCACCAGGCACAAAAGTCCATCTAAAGCAAGATTTCTTAACCTTGGCACTACTGGCATTTTAATCACCCTTGACATTGTGAGAGGCTGTCTTTTACACGATAGGATGTTTAGCAGCATCCCTGGCCTCTTCCTACTAGATGCCATTAGCACTCCCCTGAAATATGACCAACAAAATGTCTGTAAACATTGTCAAGAGTCCCTTGGGGAGCAACACTGCCCCTGGGTAAGAATTACTGCACTGAAGAAAGCTATCCTTTCTCTGCAGATGACTTCTCTCCTTTTGAGAAATAGCTCCTTGCTTGGCTTTTGAGCCCCACAGAGACTGACCATGTGACCCGACATACTCTCAAGAAGTGAGTGTTCTGATCCACCAAGCCATAAAGCTATATGTGCTGGGGGCATTCCATCATTAAGTGGAAGTGATATTGTGTGTCAGATATTAGTTTTTCCTGTCCTTCAGGGAACATGGGAGGACTTTATTTCTCTATCCTCTTTAAGTCAAATGTGACCTTATGACTTTCCTTGACCAAAGAACAAAAATTATTTTTGTGGAAACATTTATGTGCCAGTATGCAATTCTCCAGCCTGTTCTTCTCTTGTCACTATGATAACGGAAGCAGAGATAAATATAGATATGCAATGCTGACCCATCAAATAGAACAGCTGCCTGGAATCACCCAACTTGCAACAGATTTTACATGAGAATAAATAGATCTCTCTTTTTAAAATTTTAAGCTATTATTTCAAGGTTGGTTGTTACCACTACATAACCAACTAATCATGACAATGGTTAAAATATGAGGTTAGAGGAGGCTCCAAAAGCACAAGTAAGCTAAAGGAACAAATGGCTCAGACACCCACAACACTTACTTCTACTAATCAACTCTTCCTTAATCTATGGCCTTGTAGAGTTCCCTAAGATCAAATGAGAGCAGGAAAAAAAAAAAAAAAAAAAAAAAAAACTTAGGCCTGGTTTACACACGGTTGCATACAATATGCTGGCATTGACTTTACAGAGAAAGTGACCCTACAGGACAGGAGAAAGGGAACTCCCAGTAAGCAGAACTTCAAACAGTATCTCATTGTTCACTATATCTGAAGAGACCAAAGGTATGGATCTAGTGGTTTGGCTAAATGGCTTTGGTCATCAATATTTGCTCAACAGGCTCATAAACAAAACGGTCTTGTCAGCAGGAATAGAAATTATACCCTGGCTCAACACAGACTTTTCCTCACCAACGCTGATCTATAATTCCATGATATGCCAAGCTGTCTCACACCTCACACATTTTCTTATGCTACACTCCTCCCTGGAATGCCTTTCAACTACCCTCTATCCTAACTATCCTCCCCTTCTTCTAACACTGAGACCAACAGTGGCCTTCTCTATAAAGCCCTTTCATAGTATACAAACCTGCATCAATTCAAACCCCTCTCCTTCCTCTTTATTCAGAAGTTCTCAACATAGGGTCCACATTTCCCCAGGGATCTATAATAAAACTCAAACTTTGATAAGAAGAAAATTGTATCACTCTTTTTACCAAACTCTAACTAAAATTTTCAATTTCATTAGATTGTGAGTATAGGCAAAACAATAAAACAAATAACCATAATATTTTTGTGATTTGGTCACCAATAGAAATCACAGGTATTAGGCCATGCACGGTGGCTCACGCCTGTAATCCCAGCACTTTGGGAGGCCAAGGCAGGTGGATCACTTGAGGTCAGGAGACCAGCCTGGCCAACATGGTGAAACCCCATCTCTACTAAAAGTACAAAATTAGCCAGGCATCACAGTGCACGCCTGTAGTCCCAGCTACCTGGGAGGCTGAAGCATGGGAATCACCTGAACCTGGAAGGCGGAGGTTGCAGTAAGCCCAGATCACACCATTGCACTCCAGCCTGGGCAACAGAGCCAGACTCCATCTCAAAAAAAAAAAAAAAGAAAAAAAGAAAGAAGGAAAGAAAATAAATCACAGGAATTTTCAAATCAAATTAGATACACTTGTTGTTTATCACTATGTCATAACACTTTCTCTGGTCAGAGAGCTTCTGCTCTACCCTGGATAAAAATGTTTCCAATCTCATCTGCCCAGATATTTGGCTAAACATTTTCCTAGGTGTTTCCATTATGAGATTAACATTTAAATCTATAGTCTGAGTAAAGCAGATTGTTCTCTGTAATGGCAATGGTGGGTGTCATTTAATCAGTGGAAAGTGTGAATAGAAGAAAAAGGCTAAGCCTCCCCCAAGTAAGAGAGTTTGTTCCTCCTGCTTAAGGACATTGGCTTTTTTTCTTTTTCTTTTCTTTTTTTTCCCTCTGCTTTAGGCTTTGTTTTACTTACTGCAAGAGGGACACTGGCTTTCTCCTGTCTTTAAAATCAAACTGAAACATCAGCTCTTCAGTGTCTCAAGCCTGAGTGAGTACTACTATGTTATCTCTGGTTCTCAGGCATCTGGTTCTCAGACATATAGTGTCTGACTGGAACTATACCATCAGCTCTCCTGATTCTCCAGCTTGCCAAATACCCTGCAGATCTTGGGACTTAGCCTCCTAAATCGTGTAAGCAAATTCCTATAATAAACCTTATAATAAATCACACACACACACACACACACACACACCCTAATTGGTTCCGTTTCTCTGGAAAACCGTGATGAAGATAGTTTCTGACTTGTTCAGAATGACCTAAGGATATACGCAGAATTCATCTCTTATTATCTCTTAGAACAAGAATCCAAGTTAAAGATGGGAATGCCTGGCCTTGGTATAAGGCATTCCATTACCATGCCTTCTTCAGTAGAACAGGGCACTTAAGAAAGACTGGTGGCTAGGCAGATACCCAAACAGAGAGCAAACATCAATCTCTCTTCTTAATGACAGAGAGTGACTCTTTCAGGACCTCCTTATCTTGGCCTTCAGGCAAGAAAAAAAACCCCTTTCTTTTCCCCTCAAGGAGCAGGGAATCGTTTATTTCTTTCTATTAATACTGTGCTTCCAAAGAAGTCCTCTCCTCTTCTCCCTCTTAAACCTCATAAATTGATGGGGTGGGCAGAATCATAAAGGCAATTAGTCACAACAGCCCATAGTACTCGATACCTTCTGTTCTCAGAAACCTGTGTGCAGATTGAAGAATTCTCTTATTGGGCGGGTGTGGTGGCTCACACCTGTAATCCCAGCACTTTGGGAAGCTGAGGCGGGTGGATCACCTGAGGTCAGGAGTTCAAAACCAGCCTGGCCAACATGGTGAAACCCTGTCTCTACTAAAAATACAAAAATTGGCCAGGTATCACTAATCCCAGCTACTTGGGAGGCTGAGGCAGAAGAACTGCTTGAACACGGGAGGCGGAAGTTGCAGTGAGCAGAGATCACGCCACCACACTCCAGCCTGGGTGACAAGAGAAAAATTCCATCTCAAAAAAAAAAAAAAAAAAAGCATGGGGGTGGAGAGGAGGGTAGTCTTCTTATTAAACCTTAACTTTTCTGGGGCAGGGAGTATGTCTCACTAGCGTTTGCATTTCCAGTTCTTAACAGGACCTAGTACATAGTTAGCACCTAATTCCTATCTATTGAATGAAGAGCTTAACAGCACTACTAAGCAGTCAGCAGCAGATACAGTATAGAAGACAAGGAGCAAGTATGGCAAAGATTACTAATTGCCATCCAACACAGATCCTCACTCCACCCCCACTGATCTAGTCTGTACGCTCAGTTAAAAGCCATTTCCGATTCTTACCTGTAGCTAAGTATAGTCAAATGACTACGTTTCTGTCAATGAGATCAGAGGAAGAATTGTGTACAAAATTCTAGAGAGGTTTTTTTAAAAGATGAGAGGTACAGCTCTTTCGTCTGTGCCTTTCTATCTCCTTTCTTCTGCCTACAACATAAATGTGATGGCTGGAGATCCAGCAACCATTAGGTGATCTTGAAAATAGAAGACACATACTAAGGATGGCAAAAGAAAAAGACAGAAGCAGCCTGTGCCCTTGATAACTCCATAGAGTTGCCATATAGGCCCTAGATTGCCTACCTTTGAATTTTTATACCAGACAAATTAACTACTTTAAGCAATGGTTATTTCTTATCTGTTTCCAATAGCCAAACATAATTTCTAACTGATAAGGCAAAAAAGAGACTCCAGCAACAAATTTGTATTCTAAAACAACAACAGCCATCTCAGCTATGCCTCAATTTAATGTTGATAAAATATAAGATATTTCTACTGATATGGGAGGGGTAGAATAGGAAGCAAGACTGAACAAAGAGATTCTACTCTTTGAGGAAACAACATATAGTTCAGCTGGATGGATGTTTAGAGTACTTCAATACACTGACAAATTTTATACGACAGTACTATAATTTTTTGCCAACAGATGGTAGTTATATTCTAAAAAGACAATGTGGCTTAAAAATCTGTGACTAGCTCTTCCCATGATTCTCTCCTTATCTTCGCCATCTTTTCTCTTCCCGTGGACCTGCCACCATGAAGTAAGCAGGACCGGGTCGAGCTGTGCAGTTTCAGCGGGTACAAGATCTACCCCGGACACGGGAGGCGCTACGCCAGGACCGACGGGAAGGTTTTTCAGTTTCTTAATGCAAAATGCGAGTCGGCGTTCCTTTCCAAGAGGAATCCTCGGCAGATAAACTGGAATGTCCTCTACAGAAGAAAGCACAAAAAGGGACAGTCGGAAGAAATTCAAAAGAAAAGAACGCGCCGAGCAGTCAAATTCCAGAGAGCCATTACTGGTGCATCTCTTGCTGATATAATGGCCAAGAGGAATCAGAAACCTGAAGTTAGAAAGGCTCAACGAGAACAAGCTATCAGGGCTGCCAAGGAAGCAAAAAAGGCTAAGCAAGCATCTAAAAAGACTGCAATGGCTGCTGCTAAGGCACCTACAAAGGCAGCACCTAAGCAAAAGATTGTGAAGCCTGTGAAAGTTTCCGCTCCCCGAGTTGGTGGAATACGCTAAGCTGGCAGATTAGATTTTTAAATAAAGATTGGATTATAACTCTAAAAAAAAAAAAAAAAAATCTGTGACTAGAAAGACCAAATTATATGAAAATAATGGGTTAAGAAAAATAAACTTTTTATCAAAAAAAAGAGAAAATTTAATGGAAGATGTTAAACTAGCTGTTTAAAACTGTTCAAATATATATTATTTGATATATATGTATACATATACACATATGTGTATACACATACACATGCATATGGAAAGGAATTTAAGGATGTTACTGACAAGTCTTGGTAGCTAACAAAAGTCTCTATTAATTAAGAATCAGGGAGACTGTTTTCACAAGATAGTGCTGAAGGAGCCGAAGCCAGAGCAAAGGCTTTGAAGGCCAAGAAGGCAGTGCTGAAAGGCATCCACAGCCACATACACAACAAAACAAGATCTGCATGTCACCTACTCCTGGTGGCCCAAGGCACTGCAGCCCAGAGGCAGCCCAAATATCCTTGTAAGATAGCAGGATACAAGGATTGAAAGAAGCTTGATCACTATGTCATCAGCTTCCTCCTGACCACTGAGTCTGTCATGAGGAAAACAGAAGACAACAACATATTTGTGTTCATTGTGGATGTTAAAGTCAACAAGCACCAGGTCAAATAGGCTGTAAAGAAGCTCCACAACATTGATGAGGCCAAGGTCAAGACCCTGATCAGACCTGATGAAGAGATGAAGGCCTATGTTCGACTGGCTCTTGATTATAATACTTTGAAGGTTGCCAACCAAATTGGAATCATCTAAACTGAGTCCAGCTGGCTAATTCTAAATATATATATTAATATCTTTTCACCAGAAAAAGAAAGAATCAAGCACTATCAACAGTTAAGTAACCATAACGACAAAGGTGATAGATAAATTTGATTCTAACACTTTTTGACGTTTCATGCGTTACAATAGGACAAAATAGATATTCTGTAACCCATGCTTTGCCATTCGATAAATTGAGGCCACTTACCATATTTTATGACTACTTTTTTGGCAGTTATATTTCAAACCTAGAAAGTATTATAATTCTATAAATATCAAAGTCTCACCTCTTAATATACTACATTATTGAATTTTTATGCCTTTCTCTAAAATTAAAATCTAGTCATTTGCTTTTTCTCAGATTTGTCTCCCTGGCAGCCAGATACCCAAACAGAAAGCCTAGAATTCACAAAGATGAACCATAAGTTTCTAAACTGGACCCAAGTTAAGGTAACACATTTGCAAGGCCAACTTTTAGTATATATTATTGAGTGAATGTTTATGCAAAGATTAATGCATATATCCATCAAATAGCGTAATCAGAAAAGGACCCTGGACTACTCCAATTGTTATTTTTCAACTTTAGTTTAATTCTCGAACTAGATAGCTTTCAGAGACAGTAAGAGAATAGGATATGAATGTCTATACAAATTAGCACAGGTCTGAATCATGAAAGAAATTAGTTTGATTTATGGAAAATAGCTAAGTGCCAAGTAAGAACAAATCCAAACCAAAACATTCAGCACAATTTTCATTTCTGGCAACTTCAGCTCCTGACTAGAAAAGCTATCCTAGCTATGACAGGCCAGGCACGGTGGCTCACGCCTGTAATCCCAGCATTTTGGGAGGCCAGGGCAGGCAGATCACCTGAAGTCAGGAGTTCGAGATCAGCCTGACCAACAGGGAGAAACCCTGTCTCTACTAAAAAAATACAAAATTAGCTGGGCATGGTGGCACATGGCTGTAACCCCAGCTACTTGGGAGGCTGAGGCAGGAATCTGGGAGGCAGAGGTTGCGGTAAGCCAAGGTTGCACCATTGCTCTCCAGCCTGGGCAACAGGTGTGAAACTCCAGAAAAAAAAAAAAAAAGAAGCTATCCTAGCTATGACATTACATGGTGAAAATTTATTGAGCTACAAAAATATTAGTAGAGTTGGCAGTCCTTTCTCTAAATCTAAAACTACTGTTTCTGCTTCATACCCCAAGTGCCAAAGCCTTGAATTAGATCAGTGACTCTGAAGTGGAAGCCAGTGGTAAACCAAATAATCAAGGGAATTTGTTTCCAAAATACATCCACCCCTTTCACACTCCCCGACTCAGTAAGATTCTGAAGGGAAGTGGAGATGATATAAGTGATATATGCATGCCTTTTTAAAAACTCCTAGATTGTTTTGAGGTATCTATTTCTAACTTCATGAAGAATTAGGTCCAAACTTTTTAAAAACACTTTATCAATCACAGGCTTAAGGAGCAGAGCCACAAGTGACAAGGGCTCAGCAGATGGTTGGAAAGGTAAAGAGTTGTACTCAGAACAAATGTAACCAACTTTCAGAGCTTTCTGTGCTGGCTCCCTCCAGAATCCACTGCATTTTAGTCAGTGACAAATGTTCAGTTCAACATCCCAAGAAAAGCACACAGTCTACTAGTCAGATAAAAATGTAAAAAGAAGCGATTCTGGAAATAAAATAATTATAATAATAATAAGCCACAGACGACAGACAAAAAAAACCTTCTGTTCTGGCTTTAAAAGAACAGTAAGCAAGGATCTCTGAGGGGAAGAAAAAAAGAACAATAACAAAGTACTGTTGTGATAACTCATTTCAAAACTTCTGCCCATATTTTATCATTTTAATTTTTTTATTATGTAGCATTGGTGTTTCTAAAGGCTCAGTAGAGGTAAAAATCTCAATCATTCTAGAACTTAACATACTACAAGATGTTAAAACTATTTATTACAAATAAACTTAAATCTGAATCACATGTCAAGATAGTTTAAGGGCTGGGCTAAAAAACACATTTTCAAGGTCTATTTTAGGGCAAACAATTAAACTCCTTTACAATCATTGTTTCAAATTCCTTATAAACAGCTCCAATACTGAAATGTTTCATAAGAGAGAACTGCTATTACTTATAAGGAATCATCCAACCACTACTATATGCTAATTTGGACTAGTGTTTCTTTAACTACTTGGTCATTTCCTACTCCACGATCAACTTACTGCATTCTACAATGACACCTACTGGCCATTGAAAATCAGCCATTAGTTCTCTAAGACAGCTCTAGTAGGCTGGTTACATAAGAAGAAACACACACACACACACACACACACACACACACACGCCCATGCACAAAAGCAAAGATTTGTTAACTGATACTCAAAACACTACAGAATTGCGCCTAAAATAGAGCCAGAAATTTTCGTTGTAACCGAGACTGCATTATTCTTGGAAAATGAGAAAAGACAAAGAACAAAACACAAAACATCAATTTAAAACTTTTATCTAAAGCATTGACAAATATCTCAATACTCGGAACATCTCTAACAAACGAACTTTAATGATATACCTCCTTTCCAGCTAAAATTTTGAGAAAAAATCAAGTTTTGATTTATATTCATATATAGGAATATAAATTATCATTAATAGAAAACAATCACATCTTATAAAGTTTTTCTGACACGCAGTACTGAAATAAGCTTAGGAAAAATTGTAGAGTTGCTGATACTACATTAGACTTTATCTCTTAAGCTAAAGGCAGTATTTCAAACACCTTACATTTTAGCAATTTATAACGCTTATTTTAAAATCACTTTTCAGTGATTCTCTGAAAACTGTTTTTCCGTAAGCTATAAAATCAAGTTTTTATGTCGTTTGCCCTTCCATAACACACACTGAATAGAACACCTATTTTAATTCTACATTCTACTGCGGAAACAATGAATTATAAAACTTTTTAAAAATAAGATAATTTAGCTAATTATATTTATAAATATATGTTGCCTCTGTCCGAGACGTTCAGAGTCCACTTTTTAAACCTAATAAATAATTCATAACTAGCTTCAGACCTGCTTACAAAACAAACTACTTAAAAGTTGATTTTTTTCGGCCAGGTGAGGTGACTCATGCCTGTAATCCCAGTACTTCGAGAGGCCAAGGCGGGCCGATCAGCTGAGGTCGGGAGTTTGACACCAGCCTGAAAACATGGAGAAACTCCGTCTCTACCAAAAATACAAAAATTAGCGGGGCGTGGTGGCACATGCCTGTAATCCCAGGTACTTGGAAGGCTGAGGGAGGAGAATCGCTTGAACCCAGGATGCGGAGTTTGCGGTGAGCAGAGATTGCGCCATTGTACTCCAGCCTCGGCAACAAGAGCAAAACTCCGTCTCAAAAAAAAAGTTGACGTTCTTCCCCAAATTCAGAGCATCCCCTTATCTGCACAGTCCCTAACTTCCACAATATCGGGGGCGGGGGGAAATCCATCAATTAATTTTCTAGTCATTTTCCAACTTGCCCTTAGCTCCTAGTGTAGCTTTTTTTTAAGGATTTACACTTTCCTGAAGATTTTTTTTTTTAATGTTATCAGCCTTGTCCCTCAAAATAAATAAATTCACGAACTACAAAACATGAACCTGGCCACATTCACCGCCAACTGGTATCTGTCAAGTCAAGTCCATATTTGGGATAAGCTCTTCGTGACTACTCTATCCTCGATGCTACCACCCTTCGCCTACAGAACCAGCCAAGGTAAAAGGCACTCGAGCCAACAAAAAAGGTGTTCTAACACATTAATAGGTTGCAAGACCTCCTCTTTTAGGAGGGACAACCTAGTTGTTTGGGTAAGTAACAGCCAAGGATTACATAATGTACAGCTATAATGAGTTTTCAGGATCTGACCAGCAGTAAATATTTTTCTTCTCCGCTCCCCCTCCCTACCAATAGGAAATGGCCCTAAGAAGCAATCACTGAGATTTCTCTTAGCTGTCTGCAGTGCCGTGTCCTTTTCTCGCCTGGGGCTTTGTGCAAGGAATCCCTTCAGCCCTCGCCACACTGCCTTGCTCCCGCCTCTTTCCCCCCTCTCTGCCAGCGCCACCGCAGCCCCCACGCCCTAGGTGGGCCACCTACGTCGCCCCACAGGGCTCGGCTTCCACTCGCCTCGGCTGCTGCCTTCTCCTCCTCACGACCCTCCCAAGATGCTACCTGGTTTACAAGAGGTTCCGGGACCACCGACATTCTGGCTACCGCCTTTCTAGACCACCCTCGCCAGCTCCTTTCTGTAGTTTCCGCGGCCGAAGGAAAAGAAAAAAACCCTCTTCTTCTAGCGCTTTGCGTCCCCCAAAGACAGCACCGCCGCCTACCTGTCACCCTGCTGTCTCCGGCTTCCTACCGCCACCGCCTCCCGCAGCCGCCTGCCAACTGCAGCGCAACAAACAGCCCTCTCATTGGGTGAGAACACGGGCTCAACAACAGCCTCTCTTATTGGCTGCAGCATGTCCGCGGCCCTGCCCTCTGTGCAATGTCTAAGGATTCCGTTCCCAAGCAAGGAAAACGTCTTGTCTTCCCAGCCCTTCTCTCTTTCACAGTATCTGTTACCTCAGTCAGACTGAGGATGCATATATGTGGGAAAAATATCGACTTCCAGCCTCCCTCATGTGACCTCTACCTCATTTAGTAATCTCTGACCCAGTATCGGAACGTTAAACAGTTTCTCCGCTTTCCTGCCGTGAGAGACGCGCGGTGACAACCTCCGCTTCCGGTTGCCTCCGGTTGCAGAGTTGCGTGTCCTGAGAGGTCAGATTGCCGTCAGGTAAATTAGGGAGTTGGTGGGAGACCCCTTGATTAGGATTAAGAGCTAGACTCTATTCTGGGGAGTGCAGAAAATGAGAGACTAACTGGAGAAGGATGTTAGGGAGGGAGATCGACGAACTAGCAGGAGAGAACTGATGAAGTCCTAGTTTAGAACTGGGGTAGGGAGAGGTGGTTGGAGGATTCCATGACCATTACTCTAGTAGTTGTTAAATCCAGGTGCTTTTTCCCGCCTCTGCCACACATAAAATCCCCCTCCCTTTGGTTTGTCTTTGTTTGTTTGCCTTTGGATCGAACAAAGGCAGAAGAACAGTATCACTAAAAATAATAACAGTTCATTTGTTTTTTATTTTCTAATATTCAGAGTTTTTTAAATAAGAGGAAATTAGAATATATACTTGATAGTCTTCGGTAAACTCAAATTGCATGTAGTGGAAGTGACGTTATCTTCTTATTTCTTAGGGAAAGGATACTAGCACCTTTTTCTGTCCTAGAGCCAGCTTCCTTAAGTGGAGGTTGATCTTCATCAGACTTTTAGATTCACTTCAGACACAGGTAGATGGCTTTTAAAATGTTTGGTTGCATGTGTTTTCTTTATTTAACTAATTTCCTTACTGTTATTATTTGAGCTGCTCTGAAATGGAAATAACAATTTTCAGTCTTCACAATATAAATAACTTTTTCTAATTTTATCTTTTATTGTCAAGTATACATACAGAAATGTGTATAAAACATAGATTTTTAAAAATTATAACTAACAGGCAGACACTCCTGTAACCACAGCTTAGGTTACAAAATAAAACATTGCCAATAACTTAGAACATGCATTCTTAACGGGTGATTTTGCATTTCAAGGGGGTGAAAATTGGTGGGGCTGGGGTGGGAATCTTAGTTACTACAATGATTTGTGTCATTCCAAATGCCCACAGTATATAAACAGATATACAGTATATACGTAGTGTTAAATTTTCATTGGATGGAAGTGTGATTAGGAATAAAATGTCTTAAAAGATTCCTTACAGAGACAGTAAATAAAAATTGGTTGAAAAACACTGCCTTAGAAGCTCCCTGTACATTTCTGTGATTCCATCTCCTCCACCAAGAGGTAACCATTATCCCAACATGTGCTTAGCACTTACTTGTTTTACTTTAATTTTTCCATCTATGATGCATTCCTAAAAGATGAATTGTTAGGCTTTTCAATTTACATAAATGGGATCAGAGTGCATGTGTATTTTTTTCTGACTCACCCTTTGCTCATTATCATATTTGTGGAGACGTACTCATACTTTTGCATGTAGTTTTTTGTTGTATTATATTCTATAGTGTGTCTATAACATAATCTGTTCTATTGTTGGACATTTTGGTTGTTTACAGTTGAGAGAATAAACAATGTGGCTATATAAAGATTATTTTTAAAACATTTCCTTTTTTTATTTTATTAAGACGAGAGTCTTGATGTCTCTAAGAAAATATTTTAAATATTCTTTTATATTCCATAAATGTAAACCTTTGATTTGTGATATATTTATAAGATTTACAGTTGATAAAGTAGATTCATATATCCAAATTGTCCCGAAGACACCTTTTTTTTTTTTGAGACAGAGTCTCGCTCTGTTGCTCAGGCTGGAGTGCAGTGTCACGATCTCTGCTCACTGCAATCTTCATCTCTTAAGTTCAAGCAATTCTCCTGTCTCAGTCTCCCGAGTAGCTGGGACTACAGGCCTGCACCTTCACAACCAGCTAATTTTTATATTTTTAGTAAAGATGGGGTTTTGCCATGTTGGTCAGGCTTTTCTTGAACTTGTGACCTCAGGTGTTTCACCTGCCTCAGCTTCCTAGTGTGCTGGGATTACAGGCATAAGCCACCACACCTGGGCTCCAAAGATACTTTAATATTTTCTAATAATGATTCGATAATCTGTTTTGAGATTAAATTGATTGAAATTAAATTTAAATTCCCTTTTCCCAATACCACCATCCACGTTTCAAGTACTAGTGGCTACCACATTGGACAGTGTTTATCTAGAATAAGATATTCATATGTTCAGATTTTCTTTATATATATATATATATATATATATATATATATTTTTTTTTTTTTTTTTTTTTTTTTTGAGATGGAGTCTCACTGTCACCCAGGCTGGAGTACGGTGGCACGATCTCGGCTCACTGCAACCTCCATCTCCTGCATTCAAGCAATTCTCCTCCCTCAGCCTCCTGAGTAGCTGGGACTACAGGTGTGTGCCACCACACCTGGCTAACTTTTGTATTTTTTAGTAGAGACGAGGTTTCACCATGTTGGCCAGGCTGGTCTCAATCTCCTGACTTCAAATGAGCTGCCTGCCTCAGCCTCCCAAAGTGCTGGGATTATAGGCATGAGCCTCTGCACCTGCCCATGTTCAGCTTTTCTAGGTCATGCCAGTTTTTCAGAATGGTTGTGCTAAGTTACATTCTCATCACTAAGGTGTGAAAGTAGAAAGCATATCACAATGTGTTTTTTCATTCTCACAATCTTGCAAGGTAGGTTATCCTCATTTTACATGAAGAAACTGAAGTTCAGGGAAATTAAGCAGTTTGCCTTGGATTTTTATTTCACTAATGCAAAGCAGGAGAATTTCAAACTCTTCCTTTACATGATCAGCATATCATTGTTTGACTTATGGCCATTTGGAAATAGAAGAAAGTTTAAAAAGAAAAATGGGCCAGGTGCCATTGCACATGCCTGTAATCGCAATATTTTAGGAGGCCAAGGTGGGAGGAATGCTTGAGGCCAGGAGTTCAATACCAGCCTGGGCAGCATAGGAAGAGAAGATCCTGTCTCTGAAAACAAGAAAAAGGAAAAAGAAAACGAAAGGTTTTCTAGAGATAATGTTGTGAACTTTCTGCTCTTTTTGAAAAGAAATTTGAATGTTATATTTAGTAAATTCCTATAAAAAAGGATACTTCTGAAATAATTAGTTAAAAGAGTAAACACATTGAATTTATGTAAATAAATTTGTATAGGAGAAATGAGGGTATGTATACTTTTATATTTTCTTTCAAAGATTTATCTTTCAAATTACTTAATAGTTTGAGCACAGTAGTATTGTAACTTCGATATAGTCTTTATACCATGGTAATGTTTCAATTTATTTTCAAAAACCATTTTATTAAAATTCTTGACCCTTTGTTTTATACGTTCTTCCAAATACATTGATACTCAGGTTAATATTCTAGAATTGACATTTGCCAAAATAAGGGTTTGTCTTATAATCTCTTTAAGCATTTTTAAAATGAAGTCTTAGTTTAAAAAAGATTTTTTGAAAACATGGTATGCAGAAGCCAAGACATTATCATTCTTTTTTTTTTTCTTGAGATGGAATCTTGCACTGTAACCCAGACCAGAGTGCAGTGGCATGATCTCTGCTTACTTCAAATTCCGTCTCCTGGGTTCAAGCAATTCTCCTGCCTCCGCCTCCCAATTAGCGGGGATTACAGGTGCCCACCACCATGCCCAGCTAATTTTTTTGTATTTTTAGAAGAGACAGAGTTTTACTCTGTTGATCAGGCTGGTCTTGAACTTGACCTCGTGATCCGCTGGCCTCAGCCTCCCAAAGTGCTGGAATTACAGGCATGAGTCACCGTGCCCAGCCATCATCATCATTCTAAATAAACACTTGTAATGGTCTTCTTTTGTAATAAATGTATTTAGTCTCAAAAGTCAGTCTGAAATCTGACGCCATAATTTTTGCCTTCATTTTATTGAATCTATGAAGTAATAATGGGTTAAATGTTTCATTCAGAGTTGTGTTGTAGTTTTAACTTGTGTATGAGGGTATTGGTTTCCATTCTCATTTAAATGTGAAAATCCTTCTGGGCGTGGTTGTAATCTCCCCATAATGCCAGCATTTTCAGAGACCTATGCCAGAGGATCGAGGATCACTTGAGGCCGGGAGTTTAAGATCAGCCTGGGTAACATAGGAAGGTTCCATCACTATAAAACATTTAAAAATTAGCTGGGCATGATGTACACTCCTGTAGTCCTAGCTACTCTGGAGGCTGAGACACAAGACTCACTTAAGCCCAAGAGTTTGAGGCTGCAGTGCTGCCGTGAGCTGCTAGATCCAGAGCAAGACCCTCTATCTTTAAAAAAGGAAAAAAAAAAAAAAAAATATATATATATATATATATATATGTACACACACACACATAATTAAATGTGAAAATCATCAACATAATGTTGTTGTTGTTGTTTGAGACAGAGCCTTGCTCTGTTGCCCAGGCTGGAGCGCAGTAATGCAATCTCTGCTCACTGCAACTTCCGCCTTCTAGGTTCAAGTCATTATCCTGCCTCAGCCTCCCAAGTAGCTGGGATTACAGGCACACATCACCACACCCAGCTAATTTTTTTTTTTTTTTTTTGAGATGGAGTCTCACTCTGTAGCCCAGGCTAGAGTGCAGTGGCGGGATCTTGGCTCACTGTAGCCTCCACCTCCCGGATTCAAGCAATTCTCCTACCTCAGCCTCCCAAGTAGCTGGGATTACAGGCACGAGCCACCATGCCCAGCTAATTTTTATATTTTTTTTAATAGAGACGGGGTTTCATCATATTGGCCAGTCTGGTCTTGAACTCCTGACCTTGTGATCTGCCTGCCTCGGCCTCCCAGTGCTGGGATTATAGGCATGAGCCACCGCGCCCGGCCTAATTTTTGTATTTTTTAGTAGAGACGGATTTGCCACGTTGGCTAGGCTGGTCTTGAACTCCTACCCTCAGAAGAGCCACCTGCCTCAGCCTCCCAAAGTGCTAGGATTACAGGGGTGAGCCACCCCACCTGGCCAACATAATGTTTTTTAGTGTCTTAACATGTTTACAATTATTAAGTGTTGGTTAGTTTTTCAGAGTTAATATGTACAGTTTTTTTTCCTCATATCTTGGAACTATTGTTTATTTTTTGAGACAGAGTCTTGCTCTGTTGCCCAGGCTGGAGTGCAGTGGCTCCATCTCAGCTCACTGCAACCTCTGCCTCCTGGGTTTAAGGGATTCTCATGCCTCAGCCTCCCAATGACGTGTCTTAAATATACACTATCTAATAATTACCTCTCTCTTCTAAGATCATATGTAAGAAATCCTAGCGGGCCGGTCATGGCGGCTCGCGCCTATAATCCCAGCACTTTGGGAGGCCAAGGTGGGCAGATCACTTTAAGTCAGGAGTTCAAGAACACTCTGGCCAATATGGTGAAACCCTGTCTCTACTAAAATATACAAAAAAATTAGCCAGGCATGGTGACAGGTGCTTGTAATCCCAGCTACTTGGGAGCCTGAGGCAGGACAATCATATGAACCCGGGAGGTGGAGGTTGCAGTGAGCTGAGATGGTGCCACTGCACTCCAGCCTGGATGACAGTGAGACTCCATCTCAAAAAAAAAGAAATCCTACCTTATTACTGGGCCTGCTAATAGTAACAAATAAGGACATAATGGTAATAATTACTTGGTTTTACTTCTGGAAAAGCAGTGATTATAGAATTGCTGCTCCTTGCCAAGTAATTAGAATTTGGAAAAATAAAAATTAAAGAATTTCTACTGCTAACTTATACAAATTATAGTATAGTGTTATTAATCCATACCCCTTAATTTGAATTAGCAATTTAATTGGGAACTGAGCTGGTTTATTTTTATATTATATAGTAAAATAACACTAGTAAAACTGAAGTATTTATATAATTATTGAGGACATATTTTATTTAAGGAAACAAATTTATTGATTAAAAAGGAGTCCTAAGGTCTCTGTTGGTCCAGTTCAGGGATCAGCAAACTTCAGTCCGTGGACCAAATCCAGCCCACTGCCTATTTTTGTAAGGTCCATGAGCTAAGAATGGTTTTTTCAAATGAACATTTATAATCACTTTGATGCTAAAGATCACTAACTTTGAGCCCCAATTAAGCAAAATGTTACCCCCTAAAAAGGGAGTTCCATTTTTTTCATCAATAGACCTGTATTATCAAAAAAACAGTTGTACTCAGTTATTTATTACATTTTGAATTTTATCAATAAGGTATTTGCGGAAGTGTGTTTTCTCTCCCTATATATGTACCTACATAATTGCCTCAATTTTACCTCTTTTGCCCACAAAACCTAAAATATTTACTATCTGCCTTTTTAGAGGAAACTTTCATGTAATCATATGTAATTAAAAGCATTATGGCATTTTAAAAGAATCATCTAAAGAAAATTTTTTTAAAACAGTATGTATAACCTTTTGGTTATATATATTTGTACATTATGAAAGGACTCAAAAGGAAAACAATATTGCTTTGAAGTTAGGAGCAGGGTTATGAAACCAAACTGCAAATTTCAAATCTCAGCTGTACCATTTACTATTTTTGTTACCTTTGGAAAGTTACTTAACTGCTTGGAGTCTCACTGTCCTCATCTGTAAAAGGGGGATACTCGTAATTTAAGTTCAAAAAGTCGTTTTAGAAGTAAGGGAGTTAATATATGTAAAACATTTTAGCATAGTACACCTGGCACATAGGACTCAATAAATGTTTACTATTATTATAATGAAGAAAAGAACCAGATAGTAAGTGGTTATCTCTGAGTGGTGGGATTGCCAATTATTTTTCTTTTTTATATTTTGTATATGTGTATTTCCTGTGAACTTGGCTGTGGAATAAGACACTTTCATAAAATCTTTTAACTAGAAATTTCAATTATTTATATTGCCTGTTTTAATTTATATATATATATATATATATAGTTTCACCTTAAAACATAAACATTAAGTTTGGGTATTTGATATCTACAACTTGCATGTTTCTCACTTGTGCTCTTGTTTTCCTTATAGCCATGGCACATGGACATGGACATGAACATGGACATAGTAAAATGGAACTTCCAGATTATAGACAATGGAAGATAGAAGGGACACCATTAGAAACTGTCCAGAAGAGGCTGGCTGCACAAGGGCTAAGGGATCCATGGGGCCGGTAAGATGAATTAAGTAATTTAGATAGAATGTATCCTAGGGAATCAAGTGTCTCTGTTCCTTTTCAATGTATTCTCCTTAGAGAATCATGAAAAATGGCTTTTTACATTAAAGTTTTTTGTTTGTTTTCAGACAGGGTCTCACTCTGTCACCCAGACTGGAGTTCAGTGGTGTGCTCACGGCAGCCTCCATCTCCTAGGCTCAAGTGATGCTCCCACTCTCCCAAGTAGCTGGGACTATAGTCATGGGCCACCATGCCCAACTAATATTTGTGTTTTTAGTAGAGAGAGGGTTTTGCCATGTTGCCCAAGCTGGTCTCGAACTCCTGAGCTGAAGCGATCTGCCCACCTTGGCTTCCCAAAGTGTTACATTGACAGGTGTGAGCCACTATGCCCAGCCACATTAAAGTTTTAAAATAAACTTTATTGTGGTATCATTTATATATAAAAATTCACCTGTTTTAAGTATAAGTCCTTTATCAGATAAAATTTTGTGGTGCTTGCTTCAGCAACACATATACTACAATTATAATACAAAGAAGTTAGTATGGTCCTGTGCAAGGATCTTTAAAAAAATTTTTCTAAGTTTGCAAATGTTTTTTCCCACAATGTGGCTTATCTTTTGATATTCTTAATAATGTCTTTCAGAGAGTTTAAATTTTGATGAATTCACAATTTAGCAATTTTTTTCTTTTACAATTTATGCTTTTTGCACCCTAAGATTATCTTCTGTGCTTTCTTTTAGAAGCTTTTATAGATCTTCTTACATTTCTATGATCTATTTTGAGTTCATTTTTGTGTCATATGAAGTAAGGATGATGGTTAGTATTTTTACATATGTGCATCCAGTTGCTCCAGCACTATTTATTAAAAGATTTATCTTTCCCCTATGGAATTACCTTAATGTTGTCAAAAATACATTGAGTGAATTTTGACACTCAGTGGGCGTGGTGGCTCATGCCTGTAATTCTAGCACTTTGGGAGGCCAAGGCAGGTGGATGGCTTGACCCCAGGATTTCAAAACCAGCCTGAGCAATATAGGGTGATTTTGTCTCTACAAGACATTTTTAAGAATTGCCAGATGTGGTACACACATGTAGTCCCAATTACTCAGGAGGCTGAGGTGGGTGGATCACTTGAGCCCAGGATGTCCACATGGCAGTGAGCCAAGATTTGCCCACTCCACTCCAGCCTGGGCAACAGAGAGAGACCTTGTCTCAAGAGAATTTAAAAAATCAATTGACTGTATCTATGGTATCTATTTCTGGACTCTATTCTGTTACCCTCATTAATATGTCCACCCTTATGCCAATACCACACTGTCTTTAAATCAGGTAGTATGAGATCTCCAACTTTAAAAATATTGTTTTATCTATTCTAGGTCTTTTACATTTACATATAAACTTTGGAATGAGCCTGTTCATTTCTATAAAAAGGCTGCTTGGATTTTAATTGGGATTACATAGAATCTGTTTCAAGTAGATTCACAATGGGAATCTGTTTCACATCCACACTGAATCAAATTCACATCAATTTAGGGGCTGGGCACAGTGGCTCACACCTGTAATTCCAGCTTTTTGAGAGGTTGAGGTGGATGGATCACTTGAGGTCAGGAGTTCGAGACCAGCCTGGCCAACATGGTGAAACCTTGTGTCTACTAAAGATATAAAAAATTAGCCAGATGTGGTGGCAGGTGCCTGTAATCCCAGCTACTTGGGAGGCTGAGGCAGGAGAATTGCTTGAACCCGGGATGTGAAGGTTGCAGTGAGCCAAGATCGCGCCATTGCACTTCAGCCTGGGCAACAGGTCAAGACTCTGTCTCAAAAATAATAATAGTAGTACTTGTATTTATGTTCATGAAGGATATTATTCTGTAGCTGTTTTTCTTCTAACATCTTTGTCTGGCTTTGGTATCTCAATTAGATTTAATTAGCTCTTGTATTTCCTAAGTCATATTTCTATAGTTAAATGGTTTTCGTTTTTCATAACCTGATGTTTTCACTGGCTGTCTTTATCACAGCAGGATGTCAGTCTTCTAAAATTCAGGCTGCTATGGTAGGGAGAAGCTGAGATCCTTTTGAATAGTAACAATAATGTCAAGTGTTACATACTCCATGCTCTTCTGCCAAAGTATATCATACATGAGCCTGTTTACTCTTAATGATATTATAAATTAGATAATCATCATCATTAAATAGAACAGGAGGAAGTAGACTATGACAGTTAAGTGTCTTGCCTAGCCTACAATATTGTGAATCTAATATAAGTGGCATAGCAAAGATTAATACCCAAGTCTGTAACTTCATCTTTCAATGATGTTGTAATGACTGTGGGCAGAGTCCATCTGACCTGTGACAGATAGGCTGAAGTGAGTCTTGCATTTGATGGTTCTGTAAAATCCTGAGGCATGTGACTATGAAATCATCAAGTGTTTATTCTTCTATTTTACATGTGAAACTTGGGCATATACTTAATTATCCTATGCCACAGAAAGATTCCTATTGTGATTCATTTAAATGATCTTCTATAGGGAAGCATTTACGTCAGTTAGAAATATGAAAATTAAATTTATTTCATTCAATGTATGTACACACAAGTTGTGTATGATTCTAATTTTTTCCTTTTTTTTTTTCTAGCAATGAAGCTTGGAGATACATGGGTGGCTTTGCACAAAAGGTTACCTTTTTTGAAGTATTCTTTAAAGGATTCAAATGGGGATTTGCTGCATTTGTGGTAGCTGTAGGAGCTGAATATTACCTGGAGTCCCTGAATAAAGATAAGAAGCATCACTGAAGATAATACCTGGAAGTATCATAGTGGTTTCTTAACTCTCCAAAATAAGATTTCTTCACTATAGCCTACTTGTCTTGTTTGTCCCTTAAAATATATTAGTAGGATTTAATAAAGTAAAATAAAATATATATATGCCAATCTGTTTTTGTCATTTTTTTTTTTTAAGTGTCACAAGCCATATCAGATTTGGTTTAGAATACATAGTGGGTTGGAGAACAGCAGGAGTGACTTCTGCATATAGCAGGTAGGCAGCATATATTTGACTGAGAAAATGGACATGTTCTAACAAGTTTTTTAAATCTTTTTTTTTTAAATTAGTCCTGATCTAGCTTGCACTAACAAGTTTTTAAATGGGAGTTGGTCTTGCTGCTTTTATTGTGTTTATCGTCCTCTTCAGGTGGTTTAGAGGAACCCAGATTATACTGTAAATACTTACTGCCCTGTTCTGGTTGACACATCCATGTATTGTGTTCATTTTTCTTAATTGTGGCATTTTCCACTCTTGCTTAGTCCTCTTAGTCCTCATTGTTCCTATGTCATGAAAAACCTTACTTTTTTTTTGAGACAGGGTTTTGCTCTGTCACAGTGGCAGAATGATCTTGGCTCACTGCAACCTCAGCCTTTCCTGGGCTCAAAGGATCCTTCCACAACACCAGGTTATCTTGTATTTTTAGTAGAGATGGCTGACTGGTCTCAAACTCTTGGGCTCAAGTAATCTACCCTCCTCGGCCTCCCAAAGTGCTGGGATTATAGGCATAACCCACCATGCCTGACCTTTCTCTGAATTTCTAACAAACTAGACATTCTTCCAACATCATTGACTTTTGAAAATTTAATTAGTTATATCCCTAGTTAAATAAAGATTTGGCCAGCTGCAGTGGCTCATGCCTGTAACCCCAAAACTTTGGGAGGCCGAGGTGAGCAGATCACTTGAGTTCAGAAGTTGGAGACCAGCCTGGCCAACATGGTGAAACCCCAACTCTATTAAAAGTACAAAAATTAGCCAGACATGGTGGCAGGCATCTGTAATCCCAACTGCTTGGAAGGCTGAGGTGGGAGAATCGCTTGAACCCAATTGAGGTGGAGGTTGCAGTGACCTGAGATGATGCTACTGCACTCTAGCCTGGCCAACAGAGTGAGACTGTCTCCAAAAAAAAACACATAGATTTAACACTCGGGGGGGGGTGATAATTTTGCTTAAATAATGAAATATACAATATCACAAGGTGATTTTTTTTTCTTTTCTTTTTTTTGGAGACCGAGTCTCCCTGTCAGGCTGGAGGGCTAGGCAGTGGCGTAATCTTGGCCCACTGCAACCTGTACCTCCTGTGTTCAAGCAATTCTGCTTCAGCCTCCCAGGCAGCTGGGATTTCAGGTGCCCACCACCACACCCAGCAAATTTTTGTATTTTTAGTAGAGATAGTGTTTCATCATGTTGACCAGGCTGGTCTTGAACTCCTGACCTCATGTATTCTGCTTGCCTCAGCCTCCCAAAGTGCTGGGATTACAGGCACAGCCACCGCACCCAAGGTGATTTTTTCTTTGTAAATGTCTTGTTTTTAAATGTAAACTTCAGCAGCGCTAAAGCAAGACAAATTTCTAATAAACCGATAGTGGTAAATAGAATGTGGTAATATGCAACATAAAAAAAGACTACATGCAAAAAAGGAAAGCATTTATTTATATTTTATTTTAGAAAAAAATTAATACATACGTTCTTCTCTGTTTGGTTTTTTTGTTTTTTGAGATGGGGTCTCACTCTGTTGCCCAGGTTAGAGTGCAGTGGCCCGATCTCAGCTCACTGCAACCTCTGCCTCCCAGGCTCAAGTGATCCCCCCACCTCAGCCTCTCAAGTAGCTGGGACTACAAGCAAGTGCCACCACGGTCAGCTAATTTTTTGTGTTTTTGGTAGAGATGGGATTCCACCATGTTGCCCAGGCTGTCTCAAACTCCTGAGCTCAAGTGATCCACCTGCCTCAACCTCTCAAAACCCTGGGGTTACAGGTGTGATCCACCACACCCAGCCTGTCTTGTTTTTGTTTTTGGAATTTATAGTCTCTTTATCTTCTGGCAAGATACAAGAAGCAAAAGGAAAGATTTTTAAAAGGAAAAAAGATCATTGGGGCAAATAGAAATAGCAAGATGATAGATTTAACTTAATCATATTGATAATTATATTAAATGTATATTGTCTAAAGTTTAAACTCTAAAACATTTCCTCTTTTTTTTTTTTCTTTTTGACAGAATCTCACTCTGTCGCCCAGGCTAGAGTGCAATGGTGTGATCTCAGCTCATTACAACCTCCACCTCCTGTGTTCAAGTGATTCTCCTGCCCCAGCCTCCCGAGTAGCTGGGATTACAGGCTTGAGCCACCATGCCCAGCTAATTTTTGTATTTTTGGTAGAAACGGGGGTTTCACCATGTTGGCCTGGATGGTCTCAAACCCCTGACCTCAGATGATCCACCCGCCTCAGCCTCCCAAAGTGCTGGATTATAGGAGTGAACCACTGCGCCCAGCTCACTCTAAAGCATTTCAGTTAAAAGATAGAGGTGGCCTAGGCACAGTGGCTCAGGCCTGTAATCCCAGCACTCTGGGAGGCCCAGGTGGGCAGATCACTTGAGCTCAGAAGTTCAAACCAGCCTGGACAACATGGCGGAAACCTGTCTCTACAAAAAATACAAAAATTATACAAGTGTGGTGGTGCATGCCTGTGGTCCCAGCTACTTGAGAGGCTGAGGTGAAAGAATGGCATGAGCCCAGCAGGCAGAGGTTGCAGTGATCCAAGATCATGCCACTGAACTACAGCCTGGGAGATAGCCAGACCCTGTCTCATAAATGAATGAATGAATGAATGAATGACAGAAATGATCAACTTTGGCAAAAAAACAAGACCCAACTATAAACTGCCCATATGAAAACCCCAATGAAAAGAATGTTGAAATATATTAATATCAAAGTAGATTTTAGAATGAAGAATATTGCCTGTGATAAAGACATTTCATAATAATGAAGGGATCACTTCATTAAGAGGACCTAAAAAATCTTAAATGTTTATGCACAGAGCTTCAAAATACCAAAAGCAAAAATAAAACTTACAGACAAAACAATTATGATATGTTTGGAGATTTCAACACTTCTTTCTCAGTAATTGATAGAAAATTAAAAATAGGCAAGGTGTGTGGCCCATACCTGTAATCCCAGCACTTTGGGAGGCCCAGGTGGGAGAATCGCTTGAGCTCAGGAATTCAAGACCAGCCCAGGCAACATGGCAAGACACTGTCTCTTAAAAACAAAAATGTTAAAAAATTAACCAGGCGTGATGGCAGGTACCTGTAGTCCCAGCTACTCATGAAGCTGAGATAGGAGGATTGCTTGGGCCCTGGAGGTCGAGGCTGTAGTGACCTGTGATCACGCCATTGCACTCCATCCAACCTGGGCAACAAAGTGAGAGCCTGTCTTAAAAAATCATAATACAAAAAATTTAAAAATTATGAATCACTCATTTTCTAACAAAACCCAGAGAATGTACAAGACTATCCCTTAGGGTGAAAGGAGAAAGTATTTAAACCTCCATTTTTATTTTCATGTTTAATGAAAATGAATTAAATGTTGTTAATGTTTAACAGATCCACAGTGAAGTTTTCTCACAAATGGTGGATACCAAAGCGATCACACAGAATTAGTGGTAAGGTATCCTGAGATGAAAGTAGCATTTCTAACCTCCAAAGGGAGAGAACAAAAAGACTCTTCAGCAAATTGCTACAGGCTGTAGTTTATACGTCCTCAGTTTTGGAATTTATTATCTACTAATTATTGATTGTTTGTTTTTCATTTTTTGTGGGTTGTTTGGTTTTTTTTTTTTAGATGGAGTCTTGCTCTGTCACCCAGGCTGGAGAGCAGTGGCGCCATCTTGGTTCACTGCAGCCTCCACCTCCTGGGTTCAAGAGAGTCTCCTGCCTCAGCATCCCGAGTAGCTGGGATTACAGGCGCAAGCTACCACACCCAGCTAATTTTTTGTATTTTTAGTACAGACAGGATTTCACCATGTTGGCCAGGCTGGTCTCGAACTCCTGGGCTCAAATGATCCGCTCACCTTGGCCTCCCAAAATGCTGGGATTACAGGTGTGAGCCACAGCATCCGGCCTTTTTTTTTTTTTGAGACAGGATCTCACTTTGTTGCCTAGGCTGGATGCAGTGGTGCAATCACAGCTCACTGCAGCCTAGACCTCCTGGGGTCAAGTGATCCTCTTTTCTTAGCCTCCTAAGTAGCTGGGACTGCAGGCACATACCACCACACCCCATTAATTTTTTTTATTTTTGTAGAGACAGGGAGCTCACCATGTTACACAAGCTGGTCTCAAATTCCTGGGTTCAAGGACTCCTCCCACCTTAAACTCCCCAAGTACAGAGATTACAGGCGTGAACCACTGCACCCAGCCTTATCAACTAGTTTAACTCAACCTTCGTGAAATAGATAAGCAAGTTAAAAAGATTTTTCACAAAGAAACTGCTGATTGAAGCTAGTACTAATAACTCAAGAACAAGCAAACAAGAAAAAAAGAGAAGAGCCACGAACTCTGTGAGCAATATTACCAGTAAATAGGATGGTCTAATCATGAGAAGAGTCAACCAAAAAAAAAAAAAAAGATTGAAATAAGGACCCGAACCCACTATCAGTACAATGAACCTTGTCCTAACAGTGTACTGATCTGTTAATTAATGATAGCATATAGTCATCATGATTAGTAAGACATTTCAAAGTGTTTAATTTTTGTCTTACCTTCAGTTTCCATATTTGTGTATTTTCTTCTCTCTCTCTCTACCTCTCTCTCTTTCTCTCTTTCTTTTTGGAGGCAGAATCTTGCTCTGTTGCCTGGAGTGCAATAGTGTGATCTCGGTTCATCATAACCTCTGCCTCCTGGGTTCAAACAATTCTCCTGCCTCAGCCTCCCGAGTAGCTGGGATTACAGGCATGTGCCACCATGCCCAACTACTTATTAGTATTTTTTTTAGTGCAGATAGGGTCTTCTTTTTTGAAATGAAGTCTCACACTGTTGCCCAGGCTGGAGTGCAGTGGCACGATTTTGGCTCACATCAACCTCCACCTCCCAGGTTCAAGTGACTCTCCTGCCTCAGC